ACAGAGAGAGAGAGAGACAGCGAGAGAGGGAACACAAGCAGGGGGAGTGGGGGAGGGAGAAGCCGGCTCCCCTCTGAGCAGGGAGCCCAGTGCGGGGCTCGGTCCCAGGACTCTGGGATCATGACCTGAGCCGAAGGCAGACGCCCAACGACTGAGCCACCCAGGCGCCCTAAACGTTAACTGCTGATATCCTCAGTCATCAGCCTTCCTGCGACAGGCTTGTGGGGCGGGGCCTGGGAATGGGCCTCCCCCTGAGGAGTGCAGGTGGCTGTGGGAAGCTAAGGGGAAGAAACCTAGCATGGGTCAGAGAGAAGCGGGGTGAAAACTAGGAGAGACTGGTTGAGGGTTGGGCTGAACAAGGCTTTACATGGGGGTAGGGATAGCAAGACAGTGCCCGTGCCAAGTCACCAACCTGGTCCGTGTGTCACTCACTGGAAAGCGGGAAGCCCGAGTGTCCTTACTCCTGTTACCCTAGCCCCACAAGGTGGGAGGTGAAGGAGAACATTCCTGTCACTGTCCAGAGCTAAAGCTTCATTCTGCAAAATGGCCAAAGCAATCAGCAAGTGAGGGAGTAGCTCTTAAAAAGAAACCTGGCATTTAATTAACTTTTCCAAGTGCTGGTTCAGCAACCTCTATGTTTTACATTTTGAATATTGAACAAGCGTCTCTAATTGGATCTGAACCGCTTCTGGGTCTGCCAGCCCGAAGAGCACCTGCTTCAGTTTTACGAACACCATGGAATCTTGTCTGAATTTCGGGGAAGCCAACTGAGGATTACTCAGGAGTGGAGGCTACAGTCTGTGAAGCCTTTTCTTCCCTTCCCTCAGCCTTTAGGTCGAGTCAGAGTTCATTAACATTTTGGTTAGAAAGAAGCGGGCAACTGGCAGGATAGGGCAACAAGGTTTCCATTTTGCTGCTTAGTACCCATAGTTCAGCTTACTGTCTGCAGTGAGGTGTAAGGCATTGATTCTCATATGTGACTGGGTCCCGTTTCCGGATATTACTATCTCAGAGGGCCTGGGGTGAGGCCCAGCACAGAGACACTGAAAAAAACTCAATGATGCTGTTGTGTACCAGTGGTTAAGAACTACTGGTTTAAAGGATTCTCTACGGCAGTTCTCTGTACGTTCTATTGCCTTCCGTAAGTGTGGGAAGTCAGGAATGGGCTGTCTGCACAGTAAATCCAAACAGATGTCTGGGTGCCCTGGGGACGTCTGAAAATCATCGAGTAGCTGCTTTTGAAAAGGCTTGGGGCAGTGTGTGTGGAATCCGGGGTGGAAGTCGGGAGACGGGGCTTCTTGCTGCAGCCTCGTTACTCATAGCTCAGTGATTTGGATGAAGCACACATCGAAGTGCCCCATGGCCCTGTCTGTCACATCGTGTCTCTGAAACCTGCGTTGCCTCTTTTCCAAAGCTAGGCTCAGCTCATGGCAGTGTTGCCAGACAGGAGCGGAGGAAACCTGCAGAGTGCTCCACCTGCATAAGGTGGCGTCCCCCATGTTGTTACGATTGTCAGGTTCCCAGCCCCCCTCCCCCCAGTAGCCACTTCTGAGGAAGAAGGCACGTGGGCGGGGGGTGTAGTAGGAGACCAGAAGCCCAGGGCAGAGCTGACCGCAGCTCTGGGGACAGCCTGCCCTGGGCCTGGACCAGCTCACGGCGTTTCCTCAGAAGTATGTCTGTGAGGAGGAGATGGGCCAGAACCCACAATCCTCTACCTCACGGTCTGTGGGGGGCAGGACTTCAGCCCAAATCCTTCTTTAGTTACCTACCCTCTTGAGCTACCATAGACCGCTGTATTTTGTTTCTGTTTTGTTTTTAACCTGTCACCAACAATTTAAAAATATACTCTGTGTCATGACTGGATATGTTTGTATATAAAATGGGGGGAAAGTTTATGTAATACTTACCTTTACTATTTGCAGGATACTCTCTTTTCTATTCTACTTTATGCTATTAAAAATAAAAAGAGGGGCGCCTGGGTGGTTCAATCGATTAAACATCTGACTCTTGATTTTGGTTCGGCTCATGATCTCAGGGTCGAGATTGAGCCCCATGTTGGGCTCCACGTTCAGCGGGGAATCTGCTTGAGATTCTCTCTCTCTCTCTCCCTTGACCCCCTCCCCCACTCTCTCGCTCTCTCACTGAAAATAAATAAAGAAAAAGGAAAAGACAAGAAAGGCTGGTGGTGATCCACTAAATTGATTCCATGACTCACCATGGGTCATGACCTTAGTTTGAAAATCACTGTGCTCGATTCTGTGTCCTTGTGCTGGGCTCTGACATTGTGTGACTTGAGGTACCCGTGGAGACCAGGCAGGTACAAGACATCTGAAGTGGGGTTTTATTTCAGAATAACACCTTCAATTATGTTACTGAGATGCACATACAGATTAGTTAGTTGCATATTCGCCTGTCTCTAAAGACATGTACTCTGCCAATTCTCCTAAAACCTGCTTCCCACGTAGCCTTCCTTTTGCTTCCCTTGCTTTTGGTAGCTGCAGAGCTGCAGGCAATACTTCATTTGCCTCTTAATTTCCACTGTAAGAGAGCCAGCAGTGCAGAGTGAAGTATAAAGGGCTTCTACGGGCCCCCCAGTGTCGGGAGGGGCTGGGAGCTCAGGCTCATCCCAGCCACGCTCCACTTCCCCAGAGTTTTCCATGTGGGAATGCAGGTCCAGTTTACAGGCTCTGTGTTTGAAGAATCCAGAAGTCCAGATTTTTTGTACAGAATCTCCCAATTTGGGCAACAAATTCATGTTAAAACCAAAACAAAACAAAACAAAAAAACCCAGCAGTGTGGCAACAAATGGATATGCTCGCTAGACAAGGCCGGAAAATGCTCAGCTTTATCAAAGACAGGGCGTTCCATGGCCAGTTCTCCAGGGCCTTGCCCAAGTTCCTACTGGACTTTCCATCTCCTGAGCAGAAGGCTTGCCCAGAATCTGCTATTTCTGGCAGAGAGAGGGAGAGAAAATGGGAGAGAACGGGGGAACATGCCACCTGAAGGCATCCCCACCTCTGACCTTGAGGGCTCCATTTTGATCTTGCTCCTTGTCATGCGGTGAAATGAAATTTGGGAGGGTACTGGGGCTCCCCCTGGAGCAAGAGAGAGGAGAACAGGAGCTCTGCAGCAATTATGCTGAATGTGAAACTCATCCCCAGTTTTAGATGTCAATGGCAGTTAATCAGCCTTCCCCCGAAGATTAGCATTACCATTGTTTCCTTCAGACGAAATCACCGCTACTCTGGCCATGGCCCGTCGCTTAGGAAGGAATGATGGAGTTACAACTCCTAAGGGTGATCAGGGATGCTGTGTCTCTTACATACAAAATGCAGGTGCCTTAATCACCTTGTTCTTCTCGGACCCTGTATTCATCCGAGCCCTCCTGCCACTGGTGACACATTACCAAGGCATTTGGGTGGTGGGTTTGTAGAGTTCAACTTCACGGAGACAATTAGAGGCAGTGGTCCTGGAGGGCAGACGTGAGCTGGGAGCAGATCTTTCTGCCTTCCCTCACAGGCAGAGGTGGCTTTGGCGGCTGTTAGGTTTTCTTGACTTAGAATCTCAGTGCTGGGAACCAGTATCATCCAGCAACAGCCCCGTGGTGACGCCTGGGGCACCCCGCTGCAGGTTACCCGGCGGTGCCTCCTCCTGTCTGTCTGTCTGTCTGTCCCGCTCGTCCTCCTCCCCCGACTCGCTTCGTCTCTTTTCTGTCCTGGGAAGAGGCAAAAACTACAGCCTGGGAGATCCTCTTCAGAGTTGTTCGGTCCTGTTCTTCCAGCTTTAGCTACCCATTCTCTGCTCCCTCCCAACGGAAGCCAAAATTCTGCCCCCCCTCCCTTAGCAGTGCAGTTGGTGTGGTCTGAATTTCACGGACCCTAGTTTACTTAAACTTGGGCTTAATTTCAGATTATACTCGGAGAGGGGGAGGGGTCGTTTGCATTTTGCAGGAATTGCTGGTTGGTTCCAATGTCGCTCTGCTGACTGACGAGGCTAGCGGGCCCTGCACTGTCGAAGGCCTTCTCATGCATCCCAGCTCCTGGCCGTTACGACACTGTCTCCACCCTTGGCCCGTGCTCTTTGTGGTGATTGACTTCTGACTGGAAAGAATTCATTAAAAAACCAGCCAACCAACCAACAAAATCTATTGTGGAAATTTTCAGACGTACAGAAAAGTAATCAACATGTACCCAACACCCAACTTTAATAATTGTCAATGTTTGGTCAGTCTCATTTAGAAGACTTTAGATCCATGTTTCTCAGAGGGTCAGTAGTGACCACCTTACAGTAGGATTACCTAGGGATTTGTTTAAAATACGCAATCCCAGACTCACTTTCCCCCAGACCAGCTGATCCAGAAAGCTGTCTCTGCCAGGTCCGGCAATCTAACATGTCTACCAAGCTTCTCAGATGGTTCTTACGCACATTGAAGATTGAGAACCACAGCCTCAGATAAATGTCTATATATAATTAGGCTTCCTGTTCTCATGGAATGTCTGAAGGGCACCACCTGCCCAACATCACTCATGGGGTGTTCTGGTCCTTCAAGTGGAGGCTGCAGAAAGGCCCAGAGCCTACAGCTTGAACTGCATGGTCAGTCCATCTCTTTTTACTACTGGGAAGCTGCACATGCTAACAACTAAAGCTCCAAGTAAGACCCAAGGCCTCGGTCCTAAGAAAGTGCTCTATAAATTGGTCCGTTAGTTGTTGAAAGGAGGGAACTGTATCATCTATATCCATTTGAGTTCTGAACTTCCCCATCTGCGCTTAAACTCAATGATTTAAGTTGGAGTTATAGTGAAATAAGACTATAAGTAGGCATTCTGATGCCTGTAATTCTCTCATGCTGGCTATGGGCCTTGCTCTAGAAAGAGAAATCCAGGTCAGTAAAGCACTTGGAATATGCTAATTTGCCCTCACTTTTGAAATCCCCTCTCCAACGTATACCCCCATGCACAGGATTAACAGGTTCTTATAAACCTTGTTGTTCTTTTTTTCAGGTCAGGAAGGAGGGCTTCTGAAGAAATAGAAGAGTATGTTTCCAGCTTTCTTATTCGTCCTTCGGTTACCTTTGCTAGCAGTGCAGTGTTGGTGGTCATTATCTGTTCAGCCTTTGTCGGACTCAGCATTTGAAAGCAGAATGAGTCTGGCTTTTTGTGTGGGCCTTTAGTGATGCACACTGAATCCAGGGTTCGGTTATGCTGGTTCCTTAGCTGAAGGTCTGGACCCTGGCGTTAATATCCATGTCTTTCTCCCACCCTGTGGTTTTAGAACCGTATGTCCAGGTATCAGAGTGCTGACCCCTGGATTCTTCTTTATTGATTCAGATGGGCAGAAACAATACCAGCCTTCTAAACCTAACCTTCTCCTAAGATTTATATCAGAAGGGAAAATAAAAGGTGTCTGGGTAAAGACAGAACGTAAAGGCAGGGCCAGTGAATTTCACCCCACCCCCCGGGGGTGAGAGGAGCATTCGTATCGTAGTCTGTGCAATGGTGCACCACACGCCTTATGCGACCGTATGTGGCAGACCCAAGTGCCTAATTAGGTTTGACCAAGTTGATGGGGGAAAATGGGTCCAGAGACCATCTAGGAGAAACAATAGATACAGTAATAATTGGGGTGCTTTCTTCCTACATGTGAAATTCATTTTCTTTCCTTTCCTTCTTTTTGCGGGCAGTCACCGCCTCAGGCAGCAGAGCTTGGACAGATCGGATGATGGAGGAGGTAAGATGTGTTTGGAGCCGGAGAGACTCCACGGCCCACAGAGCCTTTCCTGGGCCGCAGCTAAGGCCTCGTTGGCTGCAGCCTTCCTGGGAGGCGGTGGCCCCATACCATCTCATCTCCGTGCCTTGCTGGACACTGCATCTGCCTGGAGGACCTCACCCCCGTGGCTGTCCGCCAGCCCTGCTTGTCCCTCACAACTCTGCTGAAGCATCTCCTCCTCTGGAAGGTCTTCCCTTCCCACCCACTCCCTCTCTGACTCCGATGTTTCTTCCCTGTGCTCCCAAGGCTCCCTGGGCTAACCTCCAATATAACAACAGCAACACTAGCTAATACCTGTTAGGTGTTTATTATATCCCAGGCACCTGATATACTGTCCTACCAGTTTATATTATGTTAAAGCATTTCATCATCACAATAACCCCCTGAGTTGGTACTATTGTCCCATTCTACAGTTGAGGAGACTAAAGCACAGGGAGGTTAAGTAAGGTTTTTCCAGGTCACTGTAAACTCTGTGCTCCAATGTGGATAGTTTCTACGGCCGTGTAAATGCTCTTTTCTTCTACAAAGCGTAGTCTGCCATTAAGACCACTCAGGGAATTTGTTCTTTCAGAGACTGTATTTTTCAGCCCTAGAAGCTCCATTCAGTTCTGTGTCTTCCATTCATCTCCTTCTTTTGATCATGTTTTGCTAAAGTCCTTTTCTGCTAATTCTATCATTTCTCTGTTTCCTGTGTCTCCACCGACTGATTTTTCTTCTGGTTACAAGTTCTGTTTTTTCTGCTTCTTTACATGATTAGTCGTTTTTGATTGGATGCTGGTCATTGTGAACATTACTATGTTGAGTGTCTGGATTTTGTTGTCTTTCTTTAAAGAATAACATATTCTTTAAAGAAAAGTATATCTGTTTTAGTAGGCAGTTAATGTGTTTGTTGGTCAACTTGATCATTTTGAGAATTGTTTTTAAGCTTTATTAGGGCAAATCTAGAGTTAACCCTAAACATTAAGATACTCAGGTGTCCCTGCCTGGTGGTTCAACAAGGACTCTCCACTCTGCCTGAGTGGAGCTGAGCCTCTTCCAGTTCTTTATAAGCTGTGGGGATGGTTCACTTCACACCTTCTTGGTAGTAATTCTTTGCCCAGCTGTGTGGAGTTTGACCCTATACACATACAGCTTAGAATGCAGTCCCTCTAGGGGCGCCTGGGTGGCTCAGTCGGTTAAGCGTCTGACTCTTGATTTCGGCTCAGGTCATGGTCTCAAGAGTCGTAAGATCGAGCCCCATGTTGGGCTCCGTACCGGGCAAGGAGCCTGCTTGAAATTCTCTTTCTACCTCTCCAGCTCCCCTGCATGTACTTAAAAAAAAAAAAAAAAAAAGTGCAGTCGATCTAGATTTCTACACCCTTCTGCCAAACAGTGCCTCTCTCATCCTCTGCTTCTCAAATTCCAGCCACCTTAGCCTACCTACACTTTGACCTCTGGCTTCTCAACCCAGTGAGATCTCCGTGCTCCACTAGGGGTTCCCCCTCCTTGGACCAGAGTCGAGGAAGTGTACGTCTAAGCAGAAGGCCAGGGTTGACAGTAAGGCTCACGTCATTTCCCTCCTCTCAGGGATCCCCGTCCTGCGCCACCTGTTGTCCACTGTCTGCACACAGCTGTTTCTTCCATTATTTCCAGTTTCCTAATGGTTCCCAGCAGGAGTCCAGTGCTGGTCACTGCCTCATGGCTGGAGGTGGCACCCCAAAGCTTTCAGTAACTAACCTTTGCATGTGAGCACAAAGTGAAGGGGAGCATTAAATCTAGAAAGCTTAGATTGTGACCCGTACCGTTAGCTGCCTCACGGGACTGGGGGCTTGTGCAACATGAGAACTGCTGGGGTGGTGGTAGAAACACGGACTCCCAGCCACCAGCAATCAGAAGCTAGAGTTGGGGCCCAGCGATCTGGATTAATTTAAATACGCTCCCTCGATGAATGCTCTTCATGCCGGAGCTTGTCAGGCCTGCTGTAGTGCCTCTAAAGTTAGGAGTGAGGGCAGGAGAGGACAGGGATCATGAAAAGGCACTTCTGCCTCATCTCATCCCAAAGGGGTTTTCGGGTAGAAAGGTATCCAGTCACTGGAGGTCAGGAGTTGAGCCTCCACTCTGAGATTTAGTAAGAGCTCATGAGCGCAGCTTCATCATTCTTCAGCATTTGTCTTTGCTTTTCCTATTCTTTCTTATTGCCAAGCTCATTTTGTTTGACCAGATCTTCCTCCTTAGCTCTGCTCACTAAACTCCTTGTAGCCGCTGAACCTGTCCACCCACTAAGAATTCCCAGCGACCCTCTGAACTCAGAGCCCAAGTCTCTGTCTCTGCACATGTCCCCGGGATGCCTCGTGCCACTGCTCAACTGGGGTGGCTCAGTGATTGCTGGCTGCTGGCTACACTTTTGATCTGCCTGTCCTCACAGACTGTTGCTCCAGCCATTGGTTGCCTAGGACAGCAGGGTAACCATCCAGGAGGGTGTGCCAAAGGACTCAAGGAGGCAGGGGCCCTGCTGGACATTGACAAAGCTGTTAGGTTCAGGGAAATGATGATGCTGCCCACTCTGAGGTGCTCATTAAATTCCTGGTCTCCGGGAGGTTTGCTCAGCGGGTATCCTCTCCAGGCCTCTCTCCACCCTACCTGGAACCTCTTTCTAACTCCCTTCAACAGACTTCAGAAATCCTCCTTTTTCCATTTTTTTCAATGTGTGAAAATGCTACATTTCAAGGAGTAACTGTTCAATGTTCCAGCAAAACCTTCTGAATGCCAGAGTGTACACACATTCTAGATGTGTGTTAGCAGAGGTTGTGCCGGCTGCTGTGGCGGCAACTCTGTCAGCCATCTTGTGCAAGCCCCTCATTGGCCATGTTAACAGCATCGAAGCTTCGAGATCATTGTACAAAATAGCAGGACTCAGAGGAGAGCTCTGGTCTTGACTCACAAGAGACCACTCTGCCTCATACCCCACGCACACCAGCATCGCTGCCATCTCCGCGCATCACCAAACTCATTTAGTTCTCAAAACAAACCTATGGAAAAGTTTTTAAAGATCAACTTTGTTGAGGTCGAATTTACACACAATAAACGGAATCCATTTAAAGCTCAGCATTAGAGTTTTGACAGATGTATATGCCTGGTGGAACCACCACCACAGTCAATATATAGAACTTTCCATCTCCCCTCCAAAATTTCTCAGGCCTTTTCCAGTCAGTCCTTCCTCTGCCCCTGTCTCTAGGCAACTACTGAGTCTCTTTGTTGTCACTCTGCAGTGGTTTGCACTTTGTGGAGCTTTATGTAAGTTGAAATGTATGTACGTATGCTTTTGTGGCCTTTTTGGCTTTTCTGGCTTTTCTGGCTTTTTTCACTTATGGTAAATGATTTTGAGTTTATCCAGGTTGTTGTACATGTCATTAGCCTGTTTCATTTATTGATGAGTAGTATTCCAGTGTATGGACAGACCACATTTTTGTTATGTATTCACCTGGTAATGGATATTTGGATCGTTCATTATCCCCATTTTAAAGATGAGCAGACAAAGGCAAAGAAAAATAACCTTGCCAAAGGTCACACAGTAAGTGACAACACTTGGAAGGCACCTCTGCTCACCACTACCCCACCGATGCCACACAGCCCAGCACCAGGATTTGAATACAGACCTTGACACCAGAGTCCTTGCTCCTGGCCTGTGGGCTGTAACAAACGGTATGACCCTGTCGGCCTATGTTGGCATCTCCTTCCACAGGTGGGTTGTGTTAATGTCAGCTCTCATGTTTGTAATATAGCGTGCCTAGCATGATTGATAGGATGCTTAATACAATTCCATTAAGGAAGGAGAGAGGAAAGGTAACTATTTTCAGAGACTGCCTCTAGTATTTTTTTCCCCTTCATAAACTTGAAGTGTGAAATTAGTGATTTGGCCTTTATTTTGGCTCTGGAGGTTTGACGCGTAAAACCCTTTCTTGTCAGAGTGCACTTGATTTTACCTTCTAGGAGGGATGCCTCTTCTCAGGCATAAATCTGTTTTCCATGCAGTTATGCCTGAGTCCTTTAATGGAAAATCAGTTCATATGTTACACTTCACACTTGACTTCATCCATTTCACTATATGTGAATGTTTAGAATCTATTATGTGGTAGGAATCATATGTTACATATAACTAGTTTCTAGAATTATCTTTGCTCAGAGAATTACTTGGTTGGCTAGCAAAGGCTGCTCCTTTGAACTTAGAATAACCAGTAGGTGGGGACGCTCCATGAATGATTGCCCTGAATCAAGCATGGAGGCTCATTCAGCGATGACATGAAGCAGATCTTTGGGCACCTGTGAGGGAATCTACTGGTGCCCTTAATAAAATCACACCCAAGTTCTTCGAGGTTGTCAGTACAAGGAGCGTTGTCCCCTGGGAAGGGGCTGCTAGTTTCCCTATACTTGGTAGGGGTGGTGATCGGTGAGCAATCCCGAAAGAGAATGTATCTTGGGGAATAGAAATGAGAATCCAAGGACTAGGGCCCCCTCCAGGCAGGTGGTCTCTTTCTACCACCAGTCTGAGAGGTTAGATTTTATTGAGGAAAGCCAGCAGGTGTTCGGACAGTGCCCCCTGTGGCCACAACTCCTCCAGATGCTGGAGATAGTGGCGAGTAAGACAGCCCTGGCCCTCTGATGTAGTGAGAAATGCCCCCTCCTTCCCCTCCCCGTCTTGTATAGGAAACTTTCAGGAGCCATGTCTCTCAGATCTGTTTCTCAGCATTCAGCCTCCCAAGCTTCACTCTTGGCACATACTCTCCTTCTTCCATGGGGAAGATGCCCAGGGAGAGAAGAGAAGCACTCCGTCCCCTCCATCGATGCCTCAGGCTTCCAAGGGAAGAGAACAGAAAAGTAGAAGAAGGAAAAGGCTTTTAGGATAGATGTGTTTTTAGAGGGAGAAATGGAAGTGACCGACATTTGGAGGTGGTTTTGGAGTCTGTTGGTTAACTAGAAGGTAC